CCTCTTCTTCCTCCTCCTCCTCAGGCCAGATATGACTTCTCTTTGCTCTCCTTGTTAAACTTTGCTACACCAGCCTGTCAAACTGTACTTGGAACTACACAAAAACCCAACACTAGACTTTTTTTCCTTTGGGGCCTTGAATCATTGTACTTAATATTAACTGTTAAAACTCTGTTTTCAGTTCACTTTAACTCCTATTCTTTCAATTGTATACCGGACTCAGCAGGTCATTGTTGTCCACTTATTTTTTCTTTTTGTTGTTGTCTAAGTCGTCTTGATACATTTACATTGTAGTTTACAGCTTGTGCGTTTCCCTGACTTACTGCAGTCTTACCTTGCATACCTATCTGTGATCAGTGGTATTATTTAGTGTAATTCAAAAAAATTTTTACAGTCTATAGCAGCAATTGTCAACAACAGTCACACCAAGTTGCTTCATGTTGTAAGGTAAAGAACCTACAATATTAGAAAGAAACTTCTATTACCAGATGAGCTCCTATAAGGAAGCAGTTGGAAACTGAGGGAATGACAATCTCTCTGTTAACAGGAGAAATCTCCAATGGCAACAGACTCAATTAGACAGGAGAGAGAGAGCCAGAGTTTAATAATTGCCAATAATTAAATTGAGTAGTGTGTGTAAACCCGCAGGAAGTGAAAAGAGGTACGTGATTCAGTGCATCATGGGAAGCTCCCCAGCAGTCTAAGCCTATTACAGCATTACAAAGAGATGGCTCAGGGTCACCTGATCCAGCACTAACTCTAAGTTTTATCGAAAAGGAAAGTTTTAAGCTTAATCTTAAATAACATGTCTAAATGTATAACATGACTCACAGCACATTATTTCACCGGTACATTATGTACCCGGTGAAATCAGGGCAATACTGTTTAGACTTCTGAAAGCCAGAAATCTCTCAAACGTACTCCAATGTCACCACCTAGTGACCTTTTTTGATATTCTCGGTAGACCCCAAACACACAGACACTAAAATGAAACAGCCTTTCACGGATTTTCAGAAGCCTTGTGGATGAACCACAGATCTGACGCTGCCTCCAAACCACTAAACTCTAACTCATTCACTATGTTGCTGTATGTATGTTTAAACATAGTTATATATAATATATGGACATTATAAGTTCTTCGGGGGCTTTACAGATTTAAAGTATAACGCTAATGTTAAAAAACACAGGAGAGCACAGAGTCACTTCCCGTTTTAGATGAGAATTGCGGAATTTGGGATGCAAAACTGAGCCGAGAAAAGTCTGTTGTTTCTAGTCGGCGTGTTTTTCGTAACGTACCAGCATCGACCTGCGACCAAATAAAAGAAAACAGTGTCAGGTAGTTGTACGATAAATCTTTTTAGTATTGATGAAAAACGCTCCTTGTTGTTTTTAATATTTATATTACACGTGATGTTTGTGCTTTGGCTTGAGTTTCGAAATGTCGGCCGTTTTTTATGGCAAATTGTCCTCCTTTCTGTCACGATTAGCCTGCTAGCTGACGTTAGCGGTTTAATTTCCGGAATAGAATAACTTTATCAAGATGACCGATTTTTACAGTACTTTTTCATCTTTACTGTTAACCGACATGGACGTACACAATATATGTCTCATATATGTCGACAGAGGTTGCGCTGGCCTGTCTTTACAATAATAGTAGCATGACCTAACCAATAGCGTTGTATTTATGTTTTAAAATCACCGCGGCTGTTTTTGTTCTGTCTGGTCAGATTATGGAGTTTGCAGAACTGATAAAGACACCCAGGGTGGACGGGGTTGTCCTACACAGGCCTTTCATGCCTACTGTGGAGGGGACTCTGTGTTTGACTGGTCATCACCTGATTCTCTCCTCCAGACAGGACAACACGGAGGAACTGTGGCTGCTTCATTCAAACATTGACTCGATAGAGAAGAGGTGACAGCGTTGTGTTATTGTTTTTCTAAATGACTGTTGTGTAATCTCTTTGTGAAAATGGTACATCACCTACCCTAAATAGATGCAGGTCAGTAGGGCATGCATTTGTTAAAATCCGTTTGAGTTCCGCCTGTTTTTTAGTGCATGCTGCAGATCCGATTATTATTTATTAATAGTGTCCATATGTATAACTTGCTTATAGTTAAACTGGTTAGAGAAACTAACATTAACTGGTTAAAGACACGGGGCTTGTAGTGGCAAAGAATTTGTTTTTATTCACTGCCATTTCTGGTAATTGTACCGTTTTTAAACATTTTATGTTGGACACAAAATCAGGTTGGACACACAAGCCTCAGGAGGTTTGCCTAGTACTTAACTGCCAGTTTCTATTCCAGTATTGGCCTAATAACCTGCAGACTACCTTAAGGTTTAATTTTAGGTTTGGGTATGGGCTTTCTAAATGGAGAATAACTTGGAAGAGTGGTAAACCTTCCCAAGAGTGCCTAGCCAACCAACACTGACACATCCAGGAGGTTTGAATAGACACAAGATCAACCTTTAAAGAACTGAAGGCCTCAGTTAAAGCCAGTGTTCATGATTTAACAATAAGAAAGATGCTGTGCAAAAATGGCATCCATGGGAGAGTTCCAAGGTGAAAAATCACTGCTGACCAAAAAGAACACAAAGGGCTTGTCTCACATTTTATAAAAGATATCTTGATGATCGCCAAGACTTTTGGAAAAATACTTTGTGGACTAACGAGACAGAAGTTGAACCTTTTGGTATGAAACTAACATGGAGGAACGTTGTTTCGTTTCACTGTGTACTAACTGTATATGGTTGAAGTGACAATAAAGCCAACTTGACTTGACTTGATGGCATTTTATTTAAAAAACAAAGTCATACCAACAGTCAAACACGGTGGTGTTAGTGTGATGGTCTGAGCTCCGTTGCTGCTTTGGAATCTGGATGGCTTGCTGTATTTAATAAATTCCCCACTACCCAAAAATCCTGAAGGAAAATGTTCAATCATCAGTTCATGCCCTGAAACTCAAGCACACTTTGGTTATGCACCAGGACATTGGTCTGAAACACACAAGTGTTCTGAAAGACTCATTGCCAGTTATCACAAACACTTGATTGCAGTTCTTGCTGCCAAGGGTGGCAAAACGTTATTAGGTTTTTTTAGATGGTGCCAGGTAGGTTTGGATATCCATTTCCTTTAATAAATTACATCATTTTAAAATGGTATTTTGCATTTACTCAGGTTGTCTTTGTCTAATATTAAAATATATTTGATCTGAAACATTAAAGTGTGACAAATATGCAGAAAAACCAAACAAAAAACGAAGCAGTCAAATACATTTTCACAGCACTGTATTGTCTCTTTCATTGTAAAGCAAATGACTCATAAATCCTCCTGCCTTTCTGACTGAACTTCATGCAGATGCCTTCACATTAATCTATTAAGAATGGATTTATGCAGCTCATTGTACTTGGATACTGGCCAATCCACTCTTTCATCTGTAGCTGGGGCACGTTGCTGCTTAGAGCTTACGTACTGAGCACTGAGTACTGATACTGCCTTTAATAACAATCACTGAATCTACAGTCAAACTAAAAGTCGTTTCAACGATTCTTCCAGAAACCCAACATGACGATAACATAGAAATTACACACAGAAAGCCGAGCTGTAGGGCTCAGAGTAGTTCACTGATACTCTGTGTTTGTTCATGACATTCATCCTCTTTATTGTGCTCACCTTTTAAATTTTAGATTTGTGGGGTCTTTGGGGCACATCACTGTCAAATGCAAAGACTTGAGAGTGATTCAGCTTGAGATCACTGGTATGGAGGAGTGTCTCAACATTGCCAGCTCTATCGAGGTAAGAACAAAGGCTCCCCGTCGGAAAGAGAGTGATTATTTTTAGCTACGCTATATTTTTCTCTCAGGCTCTCTTTGTTTTTGTCATGTCAAGTTAAATTCTGCATGTGATTAATATTGTGAATAACAAGTCAATGTTTTCATTCCTCTCAAGGCTCTGTCCACTCTTGATTTAGTCTCCCTGATGTACCCTTTCTTCTACCGGCCAATGTTTGAAGTCATAGAGGATGGATGGAATTCATTTCTTCCCCAGAATGCCTTTAAAGATTTGGAGTCCATGGTATGTTTAGGTGACATTACAGAGTAATTAAATTTGAATCAGGGTTATTGGACCTTTTTTTTGTTTTGTTTTCTCCATCCCCTCTACCGCACTTTGCAGACAGATGAGTGGAGGCTGAGTGAGGTCAACAAAGACTTCAGCTTGTGTCCGTCATACCCCCCACTAGTGGCAGTACCCAAAGATTTTGATGATGAAACGCTGAAGAAAGTAGCTACTTTCCGTCACGGTGGCCGTTTTCCAGTACTTAGCTACTACCACAAGAAGAACGGCATGGTAAGCGCAAGGAAAAATAATTACTCTGCCTTTGACCGTCTCTTTTGCTTTTCATCGTTTGTGTTTTTGAACATTATAGCTAGGGATGGACTGATCCAATATACAGTACCGGTATCGGTCCGATCCTGACCTAAATTACTGGCTCGGATATCAGGGAGAAATAAAAAATGTAACCCGATCCATTAAATATAACAAAAGCACCTCACGAAACTTGCAAAATGGCTTAACCCAGGTAGTGACTTTAGCACGTGGGAGCAGTATGCGTCACGTGATAGTGCGGCTTTTGCGTGGGAGACCTCTCGGTGGTCTGGAGTTGTTTGTCACTGAAAGCATCTGGAGCCTCGCTACGTGCTGCCAAACCGGTATTTCACCTCTGAGCAAGCTGTCCCAGATAAGTAAAGCAATTGTGTAAGTTCATCTCTGAATGTTTGTAAAGCATTTTTATGTTAAGCTTAACAACCGATATATGGAGCTTTACTTTGGGGGGAAAAAAACCTGTGTTGCAGGCAAAACAGTTCCATGGTTCCCAAAAAACTATGAAAAACACTTTTTTTTCATACTTATGTTTTGTATAGAAATTACACAAAAATCAGTCTCAGGTTAAATGTGATTGAAACAGCTTACACTGACATCCATCTTGATAAAACATGAGTGTCATGAAGGCGTGTTTGCATTCATTTGCACTGCTTTCCACTCTGGATGTCTATTTATGCTAAGCTTTAAGTATAAAAGGGTCCATTCTACAACCCGTTTTTTTGTTGTTGTTGAATATAAACATTATTTTGTGCTGATATTGCACTTCCTTTTTTCAGAACCAAAGAGTTTTTGAAATTTGCATAAAACTGCATTTTAAAATTACTTTAAATACTTAGATTTACAGATCTGCTGAAGGTTTAAATAAAAAGATAAGTATTGCTGAAATGCAAAATATTTTGGAAGCGGGATATTTTTTGCAAGTGTAATAGAATAGCTTTAGTGTTTTGTCTTTTTAAATTTGAGTATGAACTGTTGGGAATAAATAAATTTTCACTGCCTCAATAATGCTATGCTTTTTTATTAGTAAGTGTTATAAAGTTATATAGTGTAGTATTAAGTGGACACAGCCCTGAAAATAAAAGCATTAGACCATGTGTCTTTGGGGAGTAGAAAGCTGCAGACTCTCGCTCATGCTGGGAAAATGCAGATAAGAGGGGACCATCTCTAGTGGAAAGTTACTGAGACACTGTTGTTTAGACTAGAATGAAGGAGCTTCTGTAATAAAACTGCTAGACATATACAAAATGCAGCAAGATATTTAAAAAAAACAAACAGTTTTTATTGATTATAAAATAGACTATATTGGATTCATATCAGTATCGACAGATATCCAAATTCATGATATCGTATCGGACATAAAAAAGTAGCCATCTCTAATTATAGGGGCTGACAAATCACTTCCACTTTCAGGTGATGATGCGAGCAGGACAGCCACTGACGGGCACGAATGGGCGACGGTGTAAGGAGGACGAGAAGCTGATCAACGCCACTCTGCGGCCAGGAAAGCGTGGTTACATCATTGATACACGTGCTATCAATGTTGCTCAGCAGGCCAAAGCCCGAGGTGGAGGGTTTGAGTTGGAGGCCAACTACCCACAATGGAGGAGGATCCACAAGGCCATTGAAAGGTGATTGGACACTTAGATATTAAGAAGACAGTAACACTTTATAATACGACCTGTTTAGAGTCTGTTGCATTGCAATTCCCTCATGATTAAATGGAATTTCAATCTATTTTATTAGAAATTAAAATGTCATTATAATTGCCTATAAATGCTTAAAGGTCGGTTCGCTAGAATACAGGGTAACAACTCACCTTTATACAGGAAACAAAGAAATAATTATACTGTAAGTACATTTAAGTAGTGCCTGAATTCTGGCAGTTTTGCAAGAAAGCAGATACAAATGATAGAGTATTTCATTTTAGGCACTACATTAAATTTCTTGAAAATTTTGCAGAAAAACAAACAAGGTTCCCCCATCTTACATCATAAGCATACTGTACTTTTCCCAGCTTGGGTTGGATTATGGAGTTGCTTAACCTTGCCTAACTAACTGCCTAACAGGAACAGAGACACTCTTTTTACTGTACACTCCTTTTGAAAGTTTTGCTTGAAAAGTGAGTGTGAAAGAAAAAAATACTTGGCTTCATCATTCATCATTATACAGTTAGATAGACAAGCAGATTTTGAAGGTATTTGTTTTTTCTTGTAAGCTGATAAGGGAGAACACGTCTTAAGGACATTTGAATAATAGAACGTCCATCATGCACATCAACATAAAGAATATTAAAAAAAACAAAGATGTAAAAAGCATGATTAACCCACTCCATAATATGGCACTGAAAAGTGCAACTTGTGTTTTTCTGCAAAATTACCAAGAAATTGCACAGCTTAAATTTACTTGTGTTTAAATTCCCTGTAAAAAGATGACTCGTTACCCCTACTTTTAATTATTTTCAGGTAAATATAATGACAATGTATTTTCAAATAAAATACATTAACTTTTAATTTAATGAAAAGGGAATCACACCCTTAGTTGTGGGCTGTATTGTAAAGTATTACTGAGAAGACTAGATAAAGTGGAAACTGATTGAAATGTATCTCATACTTTAAATGATCTAAATAAATCTGTTTTTTGCAGGTATAATGTCCTTCAGGAGAGCCTGATTAAGTTGGTGGAGGCATGTAACGACCAGTCCCACAGCATGGACCGCTGGTTAAGCAAGTTGGAGGCTTCCAACTGGCAAACTAATGTCAAAGAGATCCTCACCACGGCCTGCTTGGCTGCCCAGTGTATTGACAGGTCTGTTTTTCATTTGGTTGTCCTCATGTCCCAGTAAACATAAACTCGAAAAGCAGCGAGCAGTGACAGACTGTGGGCTTGTGTGTTTATCTCAGGGAGGGAGCGTCAGTGCTTGTTCACGGTACAGAAGGGACAGACTCCACCCTGCAGGTCACCTCCTTGGCTCAGATCATCCTGGATCCTGGGTGCAGGACCGTTAAAGGCTTTCAAAGCCTGGTAGAGCGGGAGTGGCTCCAGGTGAGCTTAGATGCACTGTTTAGAGCCAAATGTTGTCTTTTCTTTCACCTTCTCCTCCACAGTGTGAGTGTTTCCACTCATTTCACCTCTTTGACTGCTTACACAGGCTGGTCACCCTTTCCAGCAGCGCTGTGCCCAGTCTGCCTTCTCCAACAGCAAACCTCGCCATGAGGCCCCTGTCTTTCTTCTCTTCCTGGACTGTGTGTGGCAGATCCTTCGCCAATTTCCCTGCTCCTTTGAATTCAACGAGAGTTTCTTGGTACTGCTTTTCGAACACGCCTACGCATCTCAGTTTGGGACATTCTTGGGCAACAGTGCAGCTGAGAGGTAAGATAGGAGTTGGCTGATGTAAGACCTTCAGTTTATGTCAGGGCTATGCTTTCAGCTGTGTGATGTGGGTGTCACCCTACGTAGTTTAAGAATACATAATTTGTTATTATTTGTTGTGTTGCTGATAGTTAGGTCATGCAAAAATCACGATGCTCTCCCTGCAGCTGTGAACCACCTCTGATAAAACAGCCGTGAACCAGTTTTCCTGTTGGTCAGTCTGACACATTTCTGTCTTTTCACAGAGCCAGACTGTGCTTGCCTGAAAAGACTGTGTCCCTTTGGTCATGGGTGAATCGGCCGCAGGAGCTGGAGCGTCTGACCAACCCACTTTACGAGCCCAACAGTCTTGTGATCTGGCCATCTGTGGCCCCTCAGAGTCTGCTGCTGTGGGAAGGTAAGAAACAAATATATTCGTAGGTATCTCTTAAGAAGAGGGAGAGGAGGTAGAAGGGAGGTCTGGGTGTCTGTACAAAAGACATCTGCCTCTGTGATCCATAATAGATGGATGGATAGAAAAATCAGCAAATTTAATTTTCAGACCTTGTTTCCTTTTTTTATAAAAGAAAGTTTCCTAAAGTGAAAAAAAAGGAAACGTGCTGGATAATTATAAGTTTTAAAATAATAAAGTACACATAAAGTTTTGTTTGCAGGTTTTAAGGGAACATTTATAGCTGGGAGTATTTTTTTTTTTTAATTTAATCTTTATTTAAGTTTCAGCTGTATTTATGTATTTTTTATACATACATTAAATCCAACTGTTACACTGAGTGTCTCATTTACAACACGAAAGCAATTAAATGGCACATGTTAATATTCTTCATTGAAAGCGGTCCAGTGAGACCACATGCTGTACATATTTTGCAGTTTTGACTCATGCTTTAAGTTTATTCTCAGTCTGAAGATGGAGTAGGTTAATATCTAAAAACCCACCGTGAGGATCAGGTGATAAAACTGCTGTTGTAGCCACAGGTACACGATTAGAAATTGGGCGTACTCACAATTACAAATACACATTTGCTCACTCATACGTTCTGAAATCTCACCAGTAGGGGGCAGCATTGATTTGAGCATTTGAACCCTGAATGACCTTGACAGCCACTGGGACCCAAGGACCAGCTATTTGTGCTTTCCAATGTTACAAGCATGAAGACAAGTATATATACATTGTACAGGATTTTTTTAAAAATATTATCAGCAAATAATTTTAGATAAATAAACAAAATGTTGCACGTCAGTTTATTCCTTTTACAGTCACCTTTGATCTTTAGTAAAGATAAGCATTCAGTCCCATGATTATCCAATAGTGAACGAACTGTTGGTTGCAGCTTTGTCATGTTGTGTACAGCTACATGACAGGTGAGGTATGTGATCAGTGCTGTCTGACCTGCCACCTGAAACTCAGCAAGATGACTCAGCTGAATTTCATGTAACTTGGTGGAGAGGTGGTACTTGTGCAAAAGTTTCCGGTATAGCTAGCATTATGAATCATTTTACAAGAAGAGGTAGAACACACTTTGGCATTTGGGAAATTGTTCAAAATGCTCCTGAGGTGTGTCCGTGACATGTTCAGCCTGCCTGTGTGTCATTTTACAAACAGTTTCCTCACTGAGAGGCAGTGTGATGATATTATGGTAAAGCATAAGTAGCAAAATGGTGCTAAATAAAGAAGCACTGATACAGGCATACAACCACAAAATCTGTTGTGGGTAATTTAAAGTGCTGTTTTTTCACAAGTGCCTTTTGGCATTAAACACAAACATCATGTATCAGTGGAGGTTATATCAGAATATCAGTGTATATAAATGTGATCCTAAGTCTTTTTAAATCAAAATTATTTGATAATTTTACATGATCTTTTTTATTTAAATTGCCAGATAAAACCAGCTTTACCAATGTTAGCATTATATCATCATTGTTTTTGGTTTAAAATTATTACTTTTTTCACATTTTTCACACTTTTTAAACCTCTGACAATTCAATTCAATTCAATTTTATTGAAATGACAGTGTACTAATTTGATTTTAACAAATTCAGAATGAATATGTAAGTCTGAATTTGTCTAAATTGTGAATTTGAGTGACTGCAGTGAAACTTAAAACATTTTTTGATTTGCTAAACTCTTAATTGATGAGGGGTTTTTTTCCCCCACAACTTTAATAATGGTGGTTATTCTTATTCTTAACTATGGTTGTCTTAATGTCAGTGGGTTCAGCATAGTGCAACAAGTACAACAAAGCCCTGGGGAGATCTGTGTTAGACCATTCATAAAGAAAAGTTGGGGGAGGGGGAATCCAGACCAACTAGAGGTCATTAGGTTCATGCATTTCGTGCATGGGGCCTCTCTTACTGCCTAAAGCCGTTCACGCTATATGAAGTGGAATGCATAAGAACTGAGTGGAGCATGTGATATCCTGCTTATGCAGCTCTTTCATAGAAAGTGACGCACACTCCTCAGCCCACCTTAAAAGACCCAATGGAAGTCCTGAACTCTAGCTGCTGATGTGGACACTAAAAGAAACTGATGGCGTGTGTAAAATCTTTACATCCCAAAAGTTCTGTGTAATTCTTAGCGAAATAATATTGAATAAAAATAATGGTTTAATTGAAAAAACAAAAAATGTACTAAAATAATGTTGTTGTTTTTAATTGGACTGCAGTTTGATCACTTTAAAGGTGTTGAGTAAAAATGTGGAGGTTTTAGTCATTTTATTTGTGTCGCACATTTAAGAACAGCCGACTTTAAACTGTTGAAATTAAAATTTAAAAAAATAGCTAAAAGACATGTAAGAGTTAAAACACTGATAAACATGACTTTTAAACATTTTAAAATCCAGTTAGAAAAAGACTTTACAAATACAAAGGAAAGAAATGGAAAGCAGTCAACACTATTCACAAAAGACACAAAGGTTATAAATTCAATATAATTCCAAAAAGTTAATGAGCAAAAGGATTTCAGGATTATTTCTGAATTACACGGCTATAACTGTGTAATAAAATCCAGGACTGGTGAAATGTCAATTATCCATCTTGGGCTTTTCTGTGTGGAGTTTGCATGTTCTTGGTTCTTGGTTGGGCGATAAAGCCTCAAAACTATGTAATGATATTTCAAGGAAATTTATGATAATAATTTCTGATAATATAGAGGGAAAAAAATTGTGCATAGGGTTTTTCACGGTGATTGCAACTTGTGGGTAGAAGGATTTATTTATCAGCACAAACTAAACGAAGAGCTTTTCCGTCCTTCTTTTCTGACAGTCACTGATGACACAGCTAAGTGTCTTAAAACATCATCAGCAAAGCTTATTTAAAAGAAGAGTAAAAAATGACAGGGTTTTTTTTGTTTTTTTCCCCAAAACATGAAATTTACAATATGATGTCAACGACCTAAGATGCAAAGAAATACTGGAAATATTGCTCACAGTGAGCAATATAGAGACAAAGTAAAAGCAGTAAGGCTGAGATGGGTTGGACATGTGCAGAGAAGGGATAGTGGGTATATTGGACAAAGGATGTTGATAATAGAGTTACCATGCAGGAAGGAAAGAGGAAGACCACGAAGAAGATTCATAGATTCAGTGAAGGAGGATCCACTGTGGTGAGCCACTAAAGGGATCAGGCAAAAGACAAGATTTTTATTTTTCATTAAAGGTGAGGAAATTGGGTAAAAGCAAGGCTTTAATGTCAGCTAAACAACAAGAAATTCACTGAGGGATCAGAGGCAAGTGTGTCTAAATAGCAGTAAAAAAATATATCAATGGGCCTTTGGAGTACAGGTCCAAGTTGGCTGCAGTTAATTAATTGTTCCAAATATTGCGTAAACATAGGAATGCATATGCACATCCTTCCGCAGCCACCATACATTTCACAAGTATTTTGTTATCAATGACCCAAACTTAAAAAGAACTAAAATAACTGAGATCTTATTGAGTAGTGCTATCTACAGACGTGTTACTGGGTTCAGAAACCTCAGTTTGTTGACACACTGGCTTTCCTTATGACTGACAAGTAAAGCGATGGTTCATTCCAGTCATACAGCTCCTCTGTGTTTACACCTGTTTCTCTGCCAACAGCCTCCAACCACCATTAAGATCCAGTGGTTTGTTTTTTTTGCGCTCAGCACAAACTGTGTGAACTGTTTTTCGAGACTGCTTTAAGTTTTAGACATGTCAGAATCTTGTATTTGTACTCCAACTCAAAGCTCCACAAAGAACCACATCCAGCACGATAATACACTTTATCTGTTAGCTGTTTGTTTTCTTTATCACAATTATGTGTGTATGTGTATGTGTAAGTATGTGTTCTCATAAGAAAAGTGCATGCTTTCCCGTTAGTGTACAGTGACTGCACACGCAACGCTTACATAACCTCTATCAAGGTTGTGAGACTGCAGTGTTTAGAAGAAACCAGAACTGGAAGAAACCAGTTTGTGAATTGTTGTTTTCTGATTGGTCCTGCTCTTCTGTGACAGGAGTGTTCCTTCGTTGGAACCGCTCCTCCAAGTGTCTGGATGAGGCCTATGAGGAAATGGTTCATATAATAGAGTACAACAAGGAGCTTCAGACCAAAGTAAACAGCCTGCGCAGGCAGCTGGCCCAGCTTGAAACTGAAGATCCTCTGCTGCATACGCCATAAAGAGAGGGAGACCTCTAAAAGTAATTGAGATGGTACATTCAAAAATCACAGACATCCCAGCTTTAGCTTCCCCTTTTTAAAACATAATGTAAGAAAACAACATTATTGTCAAGTTATTGTGAACACGACTAAATGAACTTCAGTTTTGATGCTTTAATGAAAAACATTTTTATCATGGTGACTCATTGCAAACTACACTCGAGTAAGAGGAAAAAATTCAGAAACAAAAGCGCCGTCCTTATTAGCCATTTCTCAGAGTGCAGATAAAAGCTAAACCTCCCTTATCACACTGTGGTCTGATATCAGTGTACAGCCAGACCTGCACATGCCTACTGCTCATTTCTATAGATTGTGCTGTGACTGGGCGGCTGATTTCACTGTTGCCAAGCCTCTTCAAACACCCACACTCGTACTTGCTGGCTTCCATTTCTATATACGTGATGTGTAAAAATGACATTGTGGACCCTTTTGTGCTTCTCAGCACTGATCTTGTGTAGTAGAGGATTAAAGGGGCATTTTAAGGACAGCTGGAGAAAAAAAGTGTCTCAGTTGCTACAGGGTTCACATATTTCGTAAAAGTTCTGCTGAATGTGTACACCATTAGACCGCTGCAGAGTAACTATGGCAACATATAGGGTGCTGTAAGGGAGCATGTGCTTTTGCTGCACATTGAGATGACATACTAAGCGTAGGTAGGGTCAGAACAGTGAGGAGGGAGGTTTGTATAATATGTAAAATATCAGATCAATGCTTGACATTCCAGTATCACAGCCAGAATTTGCACAAACGATTTGATGTAACCACGTATAACAATAATCTAACGACTAGATCGGTTGCTGAGCATCTCTGACTTCTTGAGTTTAACATTCAGAACTGATGCACTTTGTGTCAAAAGCATTTCTTTATCTGTATGTACGTATACGCAAATCAATTTTACTCCCACTTTGAAAACGATCTCTCATCAGTTGTTGCCATAATAGATGACAAATGTCCAAATATCAAACAGGACAATATGTATCCAACTAACCTACACACATGTTACACTCCAAAACTCGTGTCTCTTCTGGAAAATGTGCTTAATTGTCAGCTTCTCACATCCAAGCTCATACTTATCTCACGAACATAGGAATTATCCTAAACTTCAGCGGTCAGTAAAGCTGTCTGTGTCATTATGGCAAGCTGAAACCCGCAGCGCTCTTTGCTTATAGACCTTAGTTCTTTCATCTTTCAGTGCACTCTTTGGTAGTACCATTAGAAAAACATCATCTAGCGTTGTAAATATAAATATATTTTTTTTGTTATTATGGTCTGGGATTAAAAATTAAATGCACTGCAGCCATCTTTGGCCAGTTTTGTTTGATTGCCTGTAACAAAGTAAATGATCTATGATTTATCTCGATGTCTGCTCAATACTAATACTAATAATCACACTAAGCTTAACTTACTTCCACTACTTTGAAATGCTTTGACAAAGAGAAAGTTTACGTGTATATTTCATGTGTGCATGGATAGAACATTTCTTATAGTTGTGTGATGCCTAAGTGATTTTCGCTTTGTCAGAAAGTTGACAAAATTCAAAAATGTAATGTCACACAGTAGATAAATAATCGTGTCTGTTGTACTTTGTGCAATGCCTTACTGTAAAATCCAGATTCAAAATTATGTGTGCATATTTGTCGCTGCTGATCAGATTGCTTGAAAAATCTAATATTGATTAAAATTTGTTGTTGTTGTTTTTTTTTTTAAGTTTTCACGCCATTAAAATCTGTATTACAACAAAGGAAGCGTTTCAGTTCTTTAATCACCACACAGTCTGTGCATCATTGAGTTTTCCGTGATTCAGTCTCACCAGTCTCATTAAGCTAGTTTCTAGGGGTTTTTTGTTTTTTGTTTTAAGAAAACAAAGTGAAAGCCACCTAGTTGGCTGTAAATTGAGCATTTAGCAATAAAATATACCTACCCTACCCATACCAAGGGCTACCCTAATGTTAGCCCTTGGTATTTGAAGACCTTTTTCAAAGCCTCAGCTTCATCTCCAACTCTGTATTTTCAAACTATATGAGATGACTTGGTGGTGGATCTCACTGCCATGGAAGGTGGAAGACACTGACTTGTCTGAGATGAGTCTGAAAGAAGATGCGACACAAACGGTATACTGAGAACGTTCACCTTCAAAGTAAAAGTTGGACCTTACTTGTGCAACCGACACATATCAAAAGGCTCAACTTTTACTTTGAAGGTCAACGTGCTCTGTTTACAGTTTGTGTTGCACTTCTCACATTTTCCGCTTTTGCAGACAAATCAGCGTCTTCCATGCAAATTCCTACTGACTGCAGCAAGCTGAAAGAACCAAAGCAATCACAGAGGGCTTTTCAGTGCAGCGTCTTATACTTATTTGTGAACAATTTCACGCTACTGACTACCAGCTACCACATGCAGAATACATGTTTTTCTGCAGTGAACGGGGGTTTCCAGGCTGGTCGGTCAGTAGGCCTGCGCGAGTGCAACGTCAGTAATTTCACAGCAACTGCCAGTAACCTCCAGTAACCAATCACAACCAGGTAATGAGTACACATTTAGTGTTGTATAATAAAAACAATAAAATCAGAAGGGAGGTGTTTATTGTTGAATTCAGAGATGAAGAGAATAGTACATTTGTTTTTAAACATACTCTTTTCTTTTTCTTTTTTTTACAGTCTGACTTTCTTTTGCAGGAAAAAACATCGCCCCCTGCTGGCCATTAGAAATATTTCCACTATAAGGCATTTCCTCATTGACTGACACGTTGACTTGGAGGCTGTGTCCATCGTTTATATACAGTCAACAGGCCAACTGTTGACTGTGTCTCAACAGGACAACTTTTTAATGTAAACATGTCTGGGTCATTGTTCCATTATTTTCATGTGGACAAAAATCTGCTTTAAATATATCAGTATTATTTATTTTTTCCCCATTCCAAAAGTTCCAAATACCAGAAAGAAGTCCTAGAAAATATCCACGTTATGTACCCTGTCCTTGACAGTCTGTCCGAAGATTAGTAAACAGCACCCTAATAAAATGTGTTCGCATTGCTGTGATGACACAATCATCTGATGCGGCGACTGGGGCAAAAAATAGCCAAGGGTCAGCTGCTTCATAGGGAGAGATATCCATGTTGCGGTAAGTGTTTACAGTGCTGCTGGTCAACCACAACTCTTCTGTCTGTATCATTAAGTCTTTGTGTCTATCAATACCCTAATTTCATGTTTATTACTCACAAGGGAACCCTTAAAATTCTCTTGAAGCAAGGAAGGATTTTGTGCATTATCAAGTAAGATGTTAGATAGAAACTATAGCTTGGTTTATAAGAGACTTTGATTCCCATTTTTAGTAGTGACACTGAGCTATGTAACCTCACAGCTATCAAGTGTCATGTTTGTCTCACATTTCCTGGAATTGCAGGTTACTTAGAAGATTATCCCAGTTTGCGGTTGAAAGGAAAAATATATTTACGATTTCTTTTTTCTTTCGAGAAAAAATTACATCTTGTTTTTCTTACCAAAGATCAGGTCAACTTGTTTTTCAGGTAGCTGTTTCTTTCTCAGTCATGACAGGCATGGGGGTGTGCTCGCATGCTCCACTCATATTCCAGTGCAGGCCTTAAGCCCACCCTTTGCTTGCTCCATTCAGCAACGTCATCAGTCGTTCTGACACGGCTCTATCTCCTGCAAACAAACCTGAAAGTCAAACAGAAAGTGTGTGCATTCATCATATCGTTCACTGATAAACATCTAGATTCAAATCAATGAGGCTGGAGAGCTTCTGTTTTATTTATTTTTTAATTTTGCCAGGTCACAAAAACTCCAGTGAAGCCAAGGATTTGGTGTTAAATGGCTTTTAAAGTCCATCCTGTAATCGTCCAATTTCTTTGATTGCAGGGCTGCATCGGGCTCAACACCTTGTTTTGCTTTACATAGACGTCTGCTACTTCTAAATTGTGCACCATTCATATCCATAAAGACATGAGCGCATTCGAACTGTTTGCTTTCAGTATAGCAAAATGTGTTTTACTACACTGGTACATATTCCCATGTAGTTATAAAAAATGTTGCAGATTCACAGCCACAGCTTCCAAAAGGAAATTGAAAATCACATTTTAAACCCACTCCACTCCTCTTTTTACCCACTTAACTGATGAAGAATAGCACCTCACGGCCTTTCACGTCAACTGCCCCCTTTCTTTGGTCGCCTGAAAAGGCGAGGGCCTTATATCCTAAACTCTTCCTGCGATTTAGAGTGGACACTCTTGATCTGAAGCTGGACTTTGAGCCCACGTTCATCGTGTGAATGCGACTGTCATGGTAAACGTGTATTTGCAACAGTATTTGCACGTTTGACACGATCACACCATCCCCTGCCAATGTGCAGCCTCGGGTATTTTTAAGTAATGCATAAACCGCGTGGCCTCAGATTACGTGGATGCACAAAGATTGACCGGGCGTCGGTGACGCCACGGGAGGGAGTGGTCTGCGAGGGAAGACCGCACCTCCGGGTCTCCGCCAATCCGAGAGAAAGCCGGCTTCCCTTTAAGCAGATGGTCGTTGATATATAGCTTGAAGGCGCAGCTGAGCTGATGCAACACTGAACGAAGATAACACGAACGTCACGTCAGCATCCCATTCTCAAAAAGACGCAAATCGCAGAGGAGCTTTCTTTCTGTGTGTGGCTGTGTTAACTGCAGATTATCTGGTGAGTGCACCGATCCCGATATTTGATTTCTTTCACATTTAAGAACCCGGCCGTTTTTTTAATTAGTCCTCTTTTCTAGGGAAATTTAAAATTTAATTTTAGGGAAATTATGCGCAATTTATCAATTCGTGCATCAACTCTTTTTTTTCCTTTTTTTTTTAAATCACGTGTGTTTAACCTTTCTATCCCGATCAAACTCTCTCTCTCTCTCTCTTTTTTTTTTTTTTTAAACCAAAGCAAAGTTCTCGTCTGAAGTGCAGCCGGTTGCTAAGTCACAGTGACGTGCTGAGCTCAGACAGAGAAAATATTTAGGATCTAAAATAGTGGTTGCTCTCATTCAGAATTTCGTCCACCAGCAGCAGTTTTGCCTTCGTGGAAAAGCAGCTGCACAATTGGAGGGTATGGAGATCAGTTACGCTGACGTTAAGGAATTAAACGATCGGCATGTCCCATAGAAAGGAGTCTTGGCGAGCTGTGGCGCGCTGCCCATATTAAACAGGGGGCTTATATGATGAGTACCTTAAACGATGTTGGCTCAATATTGAACAGCACATGCTCTCAGAAGGGGATAGGCCACAAGCATGATGGAGCGGGAGAGCGTGCTTTTGTGCAAAAGTAATGTTTTCATGCTTAATCCATGATCTCTGTTATTAATAATTTTATGGTTCAATATATATTTGTAAGAAAATGAAGGCAAACAAAATGAAAGCACATTCCGACTCTGAGTCCATGCCACCCTGATCTTGGCACCGTTTTCCAAGGCTACTGTATGCCGCTGTACGCCCTCTCTTCTTGATTGGCTCTCGTTGAAGGCAGGGCAGTACATATATACTCCAAAGTAACTCCGTTCATTCTTTTACTAGGAAGCTCTTTGAACCCTCGGTAAGTCTTTTCTGAAGTGATGCGTTGCGTAAAAGTCTAGACGTCCCGTAATGAACGACAAATTTAGTTTTATTGCGCTATTTTTGCATGAAGTAGTAGCTCAGTATGCTTAATTTTCTGCAGTTCTGTACCTTTCTAAAGATATGTGGTGTTCGTGTTTTATAATGTTTTTAGATAGATAGATAGAGTTAGAGTCATGGTGCGTTAAAGTTTTGCTCAACTTTGACTGTTTTGGTGTTTTTATGCGCTTTGATTCTTCTATTGCACTCATTTTCTCTGCATCATGTCATTAGCATGTCATTTGTTGCAATCCACGTGTTTTCGCTTTTGGTATGTTTTCTCTCATCTCAGTGTTTTCAGATGCGTTTGATCAATCTGCCTTTTAAGGGAATTAAAATAAAAAGTTTCCGAGTGCCACTTTTGTCGTTTAAAACGTGTTTGTTCACCTCTCGGAGCTTGAGGCTTGGAAATGAGCCGAAAACCTCATGACAAAAATGTTGCGAAGTGAGGCCACCAAATGATGCCAGAGTCTAATTAAATATAAATGCAAATTGGCTTTCATTAGATTTGTAGAGCTCTGCTAGACTTCTTTTTTTCATTGGAATTTACCAACCAAAGTGTCACCTAAAAGTAAACAGACACATTGTTCCCTTCCTCCAGGTACCAACATGCCTGTTGTGAGGATCTTCAGCAAGGTGGCCAAGCAGGCGTTACTCAGTACCCCAGGCTGTGGCTGCCAGCCCTTAACGGTGGCTGTACGCAACATCAGCTTCTCCCCTCGACAGGTGACCTCTGATGCCAGCTTCCATTCTGTGTCCTTCTCAGAAACAGACCACCCCAAGGTGCTCATCACAGGTACGTACGAAGCATCAGGTTTTGGTCTTTTGCAGCCATGCAGTTTAGTCTAATGCTTTAACAAAAAAAGGCCGTTTTAAAATGCACGACGGTTAGAAAATATGCTGTTCTGGGACTTTGAGATCAGCGGGGTTTCTGACAAGTTTGGCAATGAGAGCTGAGAGGGATGCCATTAAAAAATAAAACGTGGGCGTCCAGTGCTGTGACCTTTTTTTTCTTATGGCCACTCTCCTGCTGAGGTACTTCAGTCTCCATGGAAACTAAGCGCTGGTACTTATTAGCTGCTGCGCATCTGATTTGTGTGTGGTGTCCTCA